GATGCCATGGTCACACAGAATACACATTTGAAAGATACTTGAGAACATTCACTCACAAAGGCCTCCATGTTCTTGAGGGCTTTCTTTGAAAGCCTAGCCATGCAGGTAAAATCATCAGAAACCCGATAAGGATTATAATGTATGCATGAATGGATAAGTACAATGGACAGAGATCAATGTCTATTCACATGGGTGAACAGATGAGGACAGAATTCTGCTGTGCATGGAACACAAGTTGAGCAATGAGACAAAATGTGCAGAGGCTCATCTAACAACACTCGAGGGACCATGTGTTCACAAATGTATGTACATGTAACCCGACTCACCCTGTTTCTGCTAGTACTTCATTATTTCACAGAGCTACTAACATAGGACAAAGTCAGCATGCTCCTTTGTCTAATTATATAGATGCAATTCATATTACAGATGTCTACTATACATAGTACCCCTTCTCATGTTCTATTCATTAATGCAGTGGGTCATGTTAATTAATTGTACACTAGATAGTCAGAAAGTTGCATTTACGAGTAATTTCTTTGTCTTACAACTATCACATCATATGAAGAGTGATAAGTGATAATGTTATTCCTAAGATAAAGTGGCATGTCTGATTTATCGAGAAACAGTTAAATGTTCTGTAATTATTTGCATAATAACTAAAAAAGTAAGCACATAGATCAAATGTAATATTAGGTGGATGGAAAGTAAACAGAAGCCGCATTCAGTTATAAAAAGAGTAGAGTGCTAGGAAAATTTCAAGATGAACTGAACATGTATAAAAAAATGTCTGCAAATGTATCCATGAAGTCAGTGTGAACAAATACAGAATATGAATGGGCCATATTTCATCAGTAGAGCTAAATGGCTGAAAAATATTTCATGTATACAACCCCAAAAATTTGCAAACAGCAACTTGCCTTGATATATACTTGTACTGAGACATATGCTCATATATGCATGCACCTGGCTCCTCAGAGGTTTGACAAACTTATCTATTTTAAATAGTAAAAATCTGCATATGTTCTTTCTATAGCCATGTGATATTAGGTACCAACAACCATTTTGCTAATGGAATCATTTAGGTATCATCCAGAAGAGTTCAAGGAATTAGCATGTGTATTTGAAGGGGCATATGGAAAGGATTATCAAATATAATTCCCCTTTCCCATGTGACCCAACTAGGCAAGTGGTGGTACATGGGACTGTGCGCAAGTTAAACAAATCTATTTTTTGTGAACTTATGGCAGGAGCTCAGTGACATCACTGCAAGAGAAATCAGATCATCATGATATGTCATATCTAAGTATACCTGCACCCTACCTTGTACTTGTAGCCTAATTCATTAATTTTGTGTATCTATCCAGACACAGAGTAGGACCAGCAATTTGGTCATGTTTTTGCATAACCTGAATTAAAAAAAAACTATTCTAAAACATAATATAAATAAAATTATCTGACTTGCACCTTATTCTGTTGTAGCCATGAAATTTGCACCTGCTGCTTATTTTGGTAATGACCTTGTCAGATCAAATCTGACAAAACTTGATCTAGCCTGCCAAACATCAAAAAGTTGATTCTTCCTTGCCCCCTTTTTCTTTTTTCCTTGGGCAGGCAGGATGAAACCCTGAGTATGGCTATAGAGAGACCAAGACAGATTTCTAACTGTTGAATAAGTCATATATATGCAGCATGGTTGTCATGGCCCAGAATCCATATGATAAGAGGTACCCTCATTTATTTGTTCAGTTACCCTATAAAGAGGGTAGGTTCATCGGCATGGGTCATTTGTTTGTCTCATGATAATGGATAATATAAATATTTAGAAAGTGGTAAGCAGATAGCTTTCTCTTTTTCATTTCTTTTTTGCCACCACTTGGGGCAACTGAGCCAGAGAGTATCTAACAGAAGACAATCCAGAAAGAGGAGGGTCTATCTGTGAACTCCTGAGTGGAGATGTTACCTATTCTTTTCTGAGAGACAAAGAGAAGTGAGCCAACACCCACCAAAGCTCTGATTAAGATATTGAAAATACATTAAGATAAAGAGAATATATAAAAATAGTAGAGAGAAAGTTGAAATAAAAGATTAAGAAAAAGGGGAAGAAACTGAGGGAAGCATTATGACAAAGTGTGGTTGAATGCTCTATGGTTAGCATCAATTTACCATGATCAGAAGGCAGAAACATAAGGGGGAAAAAACACAAAAAATGCCACATTATGAAACATACAGAGTGATGAGCTAAAGATGATTCCGACATTTCCTGTTAGGAAGGGCATAGCACAAATAGAGAAGTTGATGAAACACAGACATGATTGGGTTTCTCAAAATAGACTCCATATTCCGTTAGACATAAGTTCCACTTTTCCACAATATAAACATTTAAAAGCCAATAGTTTTCAATTTGAAGACACTGCCAGAATATCAACAAGGAGAAAGTCAGTGATATTATTAAGGAACAAGTGTCGTATGACCTGAGGAAAGAGCCAAAATTGGAAAGGACTTTTTACCTCTAAATACTGATCAAGATATTTGAAAGGTTTTCTTGATTTTGTATTGTCGTTACTATGAAATTCTTTTTTGGAGAAGGGTCACCCACAAAATCCTTCAGATTAAGGTGAAATAGAATTTTCATGTTCTGTATGCAAGGTCAGAGCTCAAAAGATAGTAAATTTAAAGAGAAGCAAATAGGAAAAAGATACTGCTTACTTAGAATGGTGATGAGCTGGTTTTAATTAATCAAAAAGTAAACAAGCCAAAGAGAAAAGGAAATTCATAAAGTTTTTAAAGAAGATCATTGGCTTTTATCCTTCAGCTATTCTTCTTGATTCTTGAGATTCTGTAGGAGTTGCACAAGAGAGTTGAAGAGAGCTGATTTTACTCTTAGGTGTGTACTAAACCTCCAAGATGAATTTGGTCGTGCTGAAATGACTTCAATAAATATGGTCAATGATGAATAATTAACATAAGGATTACCACCGATTCCAAGCACCTACCTATATTAAATATATCACAATAATCTCACTTCAAATTTCAAAAGCTATATGAATAAGAACAGTGGTAATATGTTAAGTAGCAAACCATTTCTAAAATGATGGAGATGGTTAGGAATAATGCTTCTATAATTGTTGAATTTACATGACAAATAGTAGTTTTAGACTTACATGGGATCATAAACTAAAATGAGAGCAAACTAATTAACATAAAAAGATAATAACAGATTCAAATATTAAAGTGATCTAACATATACAACATAAAAAGATCAGCAATCAAGTTCAGAAATTACTTATGGGAGGAGCTAGGTCCACTGTTGAAGATTTGTTTCCCCACCCATCTAGGATAAGGCTTTCATCAGTTAGCACATATTAACTAGAGCTTTCATCCTACTTGTTACTTGTGATAATGCTGTTTCATTTTTGTCATGCATAAACAACACTGATCATGAAAAGAAGATTGAGACTTTTTACTGTTTTACAATGGCTTGTAGTCCATTTGCACCAGAAATTTTAATCATTTGGCAGGTCAATGTCAAGAAGCATAAACTTCAAAGGGCATAAGCTAAGTTTAGCAGGAGTCAATAAACCCTATGTTCATTGACAATTCAGTTACTTTGCACCCTGATGAAATTAATGATTTTTCAACTCTTTGTTCAATTGAACATAAGATATTTTAGGTAAAGAGAAGAATGTATATCAATCATATATCCCCCAAAAAAAGTCCACACAAGCATTTATCTCCACGACATTGAAGCTTAAATGCTCAAACAACTCTAAACAATGATGATAATTTAATGGTAATTCAAATATGAATGCACACACCATATACAGAGCATTGTTTGTGTGAAGAAAGGCAATTGCAGGTCATTTCACTGATCATACATGATAACCACAAAAAGCAAGCTCTGCGCAATCATATTTTAACAAAAGATCATATTTTAACAAAAGAAAGATCAGTAAATCATCTTCCACAAGGAATATTTAAGTAACCTAACAATCTGTGCACTTCTTTATGCCAAATAAGACATAATAATCAAAGAAGCATATGGGTGCCCCTGAATGAAACACGAATAAAGACAGAAAAGAAACCTTCCATGATCCTTCTACTAATTTATTACACTTACCGAAGATCCCCCAGCAACCTGATTCAGGTATCTATTCATTCCACCAAATAAAGAAAACCAATCATATTGGCGCCAACCAAGAACCAACAAACACTAATCAAAGTTCAAAACAATCTCTATCTATCCATCGAGGGAAGTAACAGAAGATCTAAACTTTGGCATCAAATCTATCAAATCCAATGCCTATTACAACAAGGAAAAAAGGGGCATCATAGACTCTTCGTGCGCGGATTCCAAAATCGCGGACCCGACTACAATTTCCAATTCTGTCGTTTCCATCACCTGAAGAGGATCCGACGAACACCCGAATCAGAGCAGTAGGGTTTAAGAAGCCGGACCGAAGGAGACGACGATGTACGCAGAAGAAATCTTATGAGTCCCGCTCGGATGGACCTTTTCGTGGAATCGGACCGTTTCCGCACCAAATTATTATGCAAAAAATCCAAGTTACCAGCATAATTTTACCCAAAACATACCCAACAGTATATTGAATATGTTGTGGGCCCAAATCGACCTTGCGGTGGATACGGTGGTCAGCGGTACGGTTGCCCAACGGGTAACCAATAATCCGGTAGGAAACAATTGCCCATCGTCCCGCGTCCGCGATTCGACCGATGAGGTGACAGATAACTGCGGGGCGTTCGTCTCAAGATTCGCGGTTTTTATGATTGACACTGATACCAATCTCGAATTCCACGCGTCGGCGTCTCGCTCGACGTGCTGACGCGAGCCTCCACTGCCGCGCCATTGCGCTCTGAAACGGCCGACTTGTCCTGCACTGACGGTTCACAGTTCTCCACGTGGCATAATCCCGTACGTTACTGTTGCCCAGCAGCGATTCGCCTGTGCTCCCCTGCTCCCTCTCCCTGCTTCCACTTACCTTTCCCCCCTTCTTTCTCCCTCTTCCCTCTCTCTCTCTCCACCTTTCCCCTACTCTCCCTCTCTCCTCTGAAGAGTGGTATTGTAGAGATCAAACGGACGCCGATCTCTCTTCCAGATAAGTGCCAGTTTTGATCTTCGACTAGTGATGTAATCTTGTCTTCTATGGCTATTCCTATGTTTTAGTTCCTTTTCCTGTGTAAAGTTTCCTTTTTTGTGGAGAAACTATCAATTCTCTAGTTGTTACCATCCAAATTACTGCTTTAGAATCCCCCAAAGATGGAATTTTTCTGCTCGAAACACCAAATTTCGTGTCAATTTGTGGCCAAACCATGAAAGATGGGATCTTTTGTAGAGTGATCCTTTGTTCCGCACCTTCCGGGGGTCTAATTCGCTTCTTAGGGTCCCCATGGATGGTGCCCATCCCCCGACCTGCCGGGACCTGGCACCGGCGCCGGCACTGAAGTCCCCGGACAAGGGGAAGAGGGACGAGTGGAGCGAGGGGGGCGTCCGCTGCCTGTTGGAGGTCTACGAGTCCAAGTGGGTACTCCGGAACCGGGCCAAGCTGAAGGGGAGCGACTGGGAGGAGATCGCCCACCATGTGTCCGTCCGGTGCTCCGGACCTAAAGCTCTCAAGACCCCGACTCAGTGCAAGAACAAGATCGAGGCGATGAAGAAGCGGTACCGCTCGGAATCGGCGGCGCATGACCCCAGCTCCGGGTCCCCGTGGCAGTTCTACGCCAGCATGGATGCCTTGCTCAAAGGCACCGGGAATTGCGCGGCTCACCCGAAACCCAATCATGACGCCGATCTCCCACCTTTGCCGAAGGCGGAGATGGAGGTCGAAGCTGACGGCCACCTGCACGATAGCAATCATGACGATGGGTCCAATACAGTGCCCATGGACATCAACATCAATGGTGACAATAACAATGAGACTAAGATGGAGAACAGGGGAACAGATAGCCACCTGAGCGCCCCAAGAAGCAAGGAAGCTGCTTCTGATGACGGTGCCAGAGATCCCAACAGTTCGTCCAAGCGGAGGAGAATCCTGGGGAGCGAGGTGGCGGAGAGCATCAGGTTGCTGGCTCAGTCCATGTTGCAGGTAGAGCGGGCGCGGCTGGAGATGTACAAGGACTCCGAGAGGATGAGAGCAGAGGCAGAGATCAAGCGGGGGGAGATGGAGCTCAAGAGGACGGAGATCATAGCAAAAACTCAGTTGCAGATCGCTAAGCTGTTCATCGAGGGAATGCGTAGGAGCAGCAAGAGCAGCAATCCATCGTCAAGGACTGAGCTTGACATGCTACCTGAAATGGATGGAGAGGTCAGTCATATGTTGTGCTCTTCTTACGTGTGAACTATTAACTCCATACACAGCTTTCTTCTTGCTTCTGTTTACTAAGCATGAAGCTTTAGTTAGGAGCTCTATGATGGCTGATGCTTCTGAAACTAATGTTCTTAGGAAATTACTCAGACTATTGTGACAGAAAAATTACAATTGCATGTATTGCACAACCATCCAAGAAACTAAAACTTGTCCTTCTCTGTTACTTGATCCAGTTGAAGATCAAGAAGCAACATATATGAGCCTTATAATGGAGTGGCAAAAGTGATCATCATCCACGCAAACTAGGAGTGATTTAGTTTTGTGACATATTATTTTGTCGGTAACAGGATGACATGGTATGTGTAAAACACATGTTACTAGACCATAAAATAAGGAGCATGTATTCCACTGCAGAAGTTATGAAATAGCTGTATCATAATTAAGTTGACAAGAGTATGACAAACAAAATTCACCACTGTTTCATCATCCTGAACTTTTTGCTGCACGCATGTTGAAGGATCTAAGTCGACTAGTGCTGATTACGGTTTTCCTTTTAATTAGTTCTTTTCCTTTTTGCAGTTTTTCTTTTTTATGTCCATCTGCAGATTTTTGCTTATAATATGATCATCTTCTGCAGTTGGGTTTCCAGTTAAATACACCCACTCAAGCTACAAATAAAACTTCTCATATCAAGTTGTAGTTATCATTGTTGCGAAGCATGTGTTAGAATGAAAAGCAAGCCATAACTAGAAAAAAATAAAACAAACAGAGATTATAACGAAAGAAAATGTTGGATGAATCAATCAGTTTCAGATGAGATTTGTTGAATTAACAAAGCAACCAAAGCTGACCCACCTCATAATCCATCTGTCATCGGCAGCACACTTGTTTATTTCTGCTCTCCATTGTTTAGCTTTTTGGCAGATTCTAAATATGGGTGGAAAGTGAGACTATGGATTTTATCTTGAAATATTCATATTGGCTTCGTGTTTAATTTTAGGGTGATTAGCTGCATGAAGGGGATAAGCTTTGAAGCAAAACATTGAAATGCAAGGATTGTGTCTGCAACTTCTAGATGTATGTATGATTCAGTGTGTACTATGGGAGAGATGTTAATAAACCCAAGAAACTGAGATTAGAGGGCAGTTGCCTGCCTGTGAAAGGGATTCCAGGTAAAATTGTTATCAACTGATTGATAAGCTTCCAGTTGCTGAGAAATTGAGCTCTCAAAGATGTGGATGCTTGGACTTCATTGTTTGTTGTCATCAATAATTGCTAAGACTTCTCTATGCTCACATCCTAATATCATTCAATCAGGTGTTTTATGTTCATTCATTCCCAAATTTTTGGTCCCAACATCCTGCATCAAATCTTCAACCAATTTACAGTGGATTTCTGGAATGCTCCCTACCTTCCTTTTGGCCATTGAGCTTATTTTATGCTCCTCCATTTTGTTTTCAGGTTTTGAGGTTACAGCCATCATATTTGTTCAGTTTCTTTTGGTTTTAAATGTAATGCTTCCAATTAATCTCACTTCCATATTATCATCAACTTCAACTTAAGTATTTTTATTAATATTTTGAGTCAAGTGAAATTGATGGATTTATTTTTATTAATGTTTTGGGTCAAATGAAATTGATGGATCAAATGAAATTAATATTCTCTAAATTCTTTCACATTATAGTCATCATAACCAACACCAACCTTATTGAATGTGGAACCTAACATATAGAAACCATAACACTTATAAATTTCACATACTGTTTAATCTCACTTTTAAATCCCACATACTGTCATCTCATTTTCAGATAAATTTCATATGCAGAGGAAGTTGATAGAAGATGGGAGTTGGAGAAAGAATACATCAAACTGGAGAGATCAAGACAGAATAGATAGGAGTTGGAGAACTTAATTAATCTAGGGAAGCAAAATCAAAGTTAGCACAAGAATTCTATAACAGAACAGGGTTAGAGAAATTAACTTGAGAACTGCAGTGGCATTTATGTCTGATGTCTTAATCTCACCAACAGAACTGCTACGAAGATAAATGAATATCAACTTATTTCAATTCTCACTCAGATAGACTCAGTTGATGAATATGAAATAAAACACAGCAGTTCTTATGCCAATCACATCTAAGGATTAAGATCATGCTCCACAACTTCATAAAATTTCCATAATCTGATTTAAGAATCTTATCAAACACAGTTAAATTGAATGCCTGATTAGCAGGATAAATGATCAATAACATCCCAGAACCGAAAATAATTTGAATGGTATGGTATGGTAACCAATGTAACACAACATCTAATGCATGAAGAACTCAGAGCACAACAAACAGTATCAAGATAGAGCCACTTAAAAAGCAGCATCCATCATGCAACACAAAATATACTAATGTAGGAATGATGCCAACCTAAGAAGAGCAACTAAAAATCTTCCACTCCATTGCTTATTGTTAGGGAGCTGGAGACCCTCAGAGTTCCCACTGCCTGTTGCTCAATTAAAATTTCCTGAGACCTTAAAATTGTGATGGTGGAATGTCTTCCCCTCTATAACTTGAGGAACACAAACTCTTCGATAGCTGGTGATTCACCAATCTTCTTGAGAGTTTCCTTATCCGGCTCCTCATCAACACCAATTGCCATTATGGCCTGTTTCCTTGGTGCAATCCTACCCACGCTCATAAAGCTGATATTCACGTTCTGCTCCCCAAGAATTCGTCCTACTCGTCCGATATTACCAGGCTTGTCAACATTCCTGCACAATATTACATACCGTTCAAGGCTTACATCCACACTGAAAGACCCTACAAGGGTGAGATGAGGATAGCCATCCTTCACCCTTCCTTCCACTGTAATATCACCAGTATCAGATAAAGCACTGGCAAATTTAGACTCCACATGAGTCAGGTGGACCTGGATCGAGTCCAGAGGGACCTCAGGTGAGCTGTCAAGGTAAATTCTCTCCTCACTGATCCGGAGACCTCTCTGCTTGGCAGTATAGTCAGCATTAACAATGTTGACAAACACATTGGATATGGGTTCGATGATTCCTTTTGTGATCATAGCACGAAGAATCCTTGTGTCCAAGTCATCAGGGTCTCGAGCTGATGTGTACACAACCTTAACTCCCTTAATTCCGCTTCCACCAGCTACTAGTTGGACAGCAAGCCTGCCCAGCTTCTCAGCCAGAATAACATAAGGGGCCAACTCAGAAAGAACCTGAAAAAAAGGGCAGTATGAGCTATGCTGGAAGTGCATAATGGAAAATTTTATGGGAAACCTATGAAAAATAACCACCTCAGCAGGAACCATGGGAGCATTCACGGCAGTTGCAGCGAGTTCACCTTTCAATGCACCAATAACTGCCTCTGCTATTTCTACTGCTACACCTTCCTGAAAATGTTGTTGACAATGTTACATAAGATGATTATCATGGGAAGGTCTGGGTGACAACATTTGTGCAGTTCTAAATTTTAGCATGCTTAGTATATTCTAGTTCTGCTCCACAAACTGACAATAAGGAACAATGCAACTTCCACAGAGGAAACCCTCCTAGATGCTTCCATGACAAATCGGGACTTGAAATACTTTAATAACTCTTGCAGTAAAGTTGCCTTTTTTTCTTTTTTGTTAACATAATCAAGCTTGAGTTTAGAAAGACAGACCTGAGCCTCGACAGTGCTAGCACCAAGGTGAGGAGTGACAGTAACATTCTCATGCATCACCAACTTGCTGTCTTTTGGTGGTGGCTCTACGGTGAAAACATCAAGTGCTGCCTGATCCAATTCATAAGACAATTAGCAAGAGTAACTAATTATTTACCCATTAAAAGAACAGTTATACCTGGGATGCACACTAAAGGAGCACTGAAGTCACAAAGGAGTTTAATAGATATGCATTAAAGATACAGATAATCCCTCTTTTTCTTTTATCTTCATTCATGAACTAGTGCAATCTATTGCATTCTTGTCAGATCAAGCAAATGAAAAATATGCTTACGAATGTTCGACCATGTTCATCAGATCAATATGATAGATGGTAGATTACAATAAAAGGACACAAATTGGTAGCTGGACAGAAGCTTACCTGAGCAACTGTCCCATTGTCAAGTGCTCTCACTAAGGCATCTTCATCAACAACTCCACCCCTAGCAACATTAATGATTCTCACTCCTTTTTTAACCTTTGCAAATGCTTCATCATTGAAAAGCTTTGCAGTAGTAGTTGTCATTGGCATGTGGAGTGATATGAAGTCTGCAGTGGATATGGCTTCATCAAATGATACAAGCTCTACTCCAATGGCACGGGCTCTATCAGCAGGTGCATATGGATCATGGGCAATCACATGCATCCCTAGTCCTTTTGCACGTCTGGCAACTTCTGAACCAACCTTTCCAAATCCCATCACCGCTAGAGTCTTTCCTACCAGAGAGACACCAACATATTTGTTGCGCTGCCATTTACCTGAAACACGTCAACATGTTGATAACAGATTTTCATCATACATTATCAAGTACAATTAGAGCCAAGAATAGTAAACTTGATTAGTCTAACAAGAATAATTATAGTATACAGTATACACCCAAAATGCATTAAACACACTTCAGTTTAACAAGTACAAGAAAGACCAACTTTTATAAACATCTAATCTACAGTGAATGATTAATCCCTTAAATTATGTTGAAAAATGATGCCTTAACTAAAATATACACCTCAAATATTTTTCTTTCCAGTAGTTAAGAAATGGAAATTGCTTTAGTATTAGTAATTTATCACACAGATACATTCCTCTGACATTGTCGGTGCACATGCTATCGTCCAGAAACATATGGATCCCTGAATTTTGCATTAAGATATATTTTCTTTTATGCTTACATCTTCTATAGAGTTTCCATCTTTTATTTGATGTGATACTATATTCTCTACCATATAAGTTTTCTAATATTTGTTATTAGCATGTGATTTTCTGACTGCTTAGCTTGCCGGACATGACCCATATAGCACAAGCATGGGTGGGCAGTAGGACAAAAAGATAATGTTATATGATGAATCAAAAATGTAGATCACAAAGAGGCAATTTAAAAACATATTTTTACATATCATTCATAAAATCTACAATGACTTGAAAGAAGCCATAATAATTGTCGCCAACAAAATATTTTAAAATCTTCTTAAAGAAAAGTACTCTAGTGCAGCATCATACAAAGTCACAGGAATTGATATATGTCTTGAAGCTTACTGCAGATGATGGCTAGCTGTTCTAGATGCATGTTACACGCTAACAATTTTCCACTGCTTTTATGTGGACCGAAGTATGAATAATTTGACTGTGGTTAAGTATGAATGATTCTGTTGTCATTTGCTCAATGTACAAAAAAAATGATATATTTGCACTTTAAATCAGCCATAAAAAGAATTGCTAGCTGATATATATATATATATATATATATATATATATATATATTTGTGTGTGTGTGTGTGTGTGTGTCTATCATCAGCTATGTTTCTGCAGTAAAACTATAGGCTCTTATAAGTACATTCTTAAGACATTGTTAACACTAAATGAAAAAATTAGTATTAGCCAAGTATTGGTGTTAGTGTTGTTCAAAATGGTTTCCAAATAAATAAAAGAACATTCCAACGACCAGAATAAACATTTCATGAGGAGCATTGGCCAATTCAATCAAACTTGTCACTAATCAACATAGGTTTTTCAAAACATGATGTTTATGAAGATCATTTATACACTCCACCATAGTGTGTGTTGTTGTGTGTACATGACAAAAATATCTATACTACCAATAAAATAATGCCCTTGTCACCTGTCTGCCTAGTGTTGGGTGGCAGTGATGGCCCACAGGTGGGTCCTGAAATGGACTCCATCACCACCTCCAATCAAAAGGGAGGCGGTTGGCACTGGGAGGTAGGAAAGGAACCGTGCACAGAATAATTAAAAGGTGTTCCTAAAATCTATATTGTAGTATCCATTAAACCTGTTCGATAGAACTGGAGGCATCATCTTATAAAATGCAGACAATAGACACAACTTTGGTCTAGCAATTCAAATAAATAAATCCATGAAAAACACCAAATTCAAATAAAGAAAGCGCATCACATAAAATTGGCACTCTTCTACAGTTGCTAGATCAACTAGCAGATATAGATGTGATCTTAGTAAGTGTAGTTCCTGGACCACAGACCTATCCACTTTTTCTGGAGCAATAAGATATTTTTATCTTTTTTACAATCTCAAGTGGATATAAAAGCTTGCGAAAATTAACCCTTGCAGACAATAAAAAACTACATAGGTAGGTGGAAATCACGAGGAAAAATAGAGTCAAAATTTGACTTTTAAGGCACAAACAGAATACTAGTTAAATGACAGATCTAAAGAATCTCTTGTCCGTCCAAAACAAAAGATCAAATCTTTCTCACTTTTTTCCCACTTTAAAGAAATCAGATCTAGTGAAACGCATGAGAAGGGCAATAGGAAGAAGAATGAGGGGCTCACCGGCCTTCATGGAGGCGTCAGCCTGCGCGATGTTCCTCGCCATGGAGGCGAGCAGCGCGATACCGTGCTCGGCCGCGGCGACAGTGTTCGCGGTGGGCGCGTTGACGACGAGGCACCCGCTCTCGGTGGCGGCGTGGAGATCCACATTGTCGATCCCCACCCCGGCTCTGCCCACCACCTTGAGACGACCCTTGGAGGCGTCGAACACCTCCCGCGTCACTTTCGTCCCGCTCCGCACGATCAGCGCGTCACAGAGAGAGATCTTGGAGCAGAGATCCTCGGGGGAGAGGTTATACGAGCAGTCCACGTTGGCGAACTCCCGGAGGAGCGCCAGCCCGGCCTCCCCGAGCTTCTCGGCCACCAGAATGGTGGGCCGTGCCGCCGCCTCGATCCGGAGCCCCCTGGCCGCGCTCCGCGCGTGGAGCGCCGGGATCTCGGAGCTGGTGGCGAGGCGGAGGCGGAGGCCGAGGCCGAGGAAGGGGGATCGGGAGCGGGAAGAGCGGAAGGAGACGGCGGGGGAGGAGAAAGAGGTGAGAGGGTGGTGGTCCGGCGTGGTAGCGGAGAGGTGGAGGAGGGCTTTGCCGGCGGCGGTGACGGAGGCCATGGCGGCGAGCGCTTCGAGGAGGTAGAGGAAGGGAAGCTTTTGAGGCGTGCCTTTCTGGTCGCTTCCGAAGAAGTGATGCGTCGAACAGCGACGCTTTAGGGATTAAATAGTGAATTAAATTGATTGTTTTGCAAATACGCCCTTATCAATAATAAATTACACGATTGCTTCTCCAATTTTTACAAATATTTTTATTTATTTTTATTTTATTTTCTTTTATCTTATGAAGCCAATCAAATATCAGTCATGCTAAAAATAAATTATTTTTCTAAATTAATTTAGGAATGTATGTTCACAAGTGTAATAATAGATTTAATAGTAATATAATTTCTTATCTTTACAGGGTTGTAAGTGAAAACTTAACCACACCGGGGACGGACACAGGGGAAGAAAGTCTAAGACGTGGGGCCCTCCGGATCCGGTGACCGGATCTAAACGAGCAGCACTTATTACCGCGGGATCCACGCACCATCGGTGGTTCCCCCCTCGGCGTCAGGCTCTCCTGTCGAGGGTCAGCCGCCAAACAGGAGATGGAAAGAGTTCCGACGGTTGAAACACCCGGGTCCCGCACGCCGACAGTGGTCCCCCGGTTTGTGGGCCCTGGTGTGGTCCTGGCATTCCGTCCTCCGAATCCAATCAAGTTGCATTAATTACCGTGGGGTCCACGCACCAGTCATCGGTGCGTCCCCCCATCCCCCGGGCGTCGAGTTCTCCTGTCGCGCGACAGCAACCAAACAGGAGAAGAATCGTTCGACCAACTGACACGACACGAGCCGGTCATCGGTGTCGAGATGTACATGAGTTACCGGTACAGACAATTATTACTGTTGTTTCTATACGGACGCCATACGCTCTTTTCTCCCTCGAAGTGCGACCAACTGATACCATAAAAGAAATATTTTAGAACGTGTCAAAGAAGATTACAGATACTTCTTTTTTAATCAGCATATTAATCTGAAAGCATCAGATATTAACATTCATCGTATTAACATTCATAGTAGAGTCCAAAAAACCACTTAGCAATCGATATTTTTTTTTTGACCTATTTTCCTAAGTCCAAAAATCATGTATTTATCCTATATATATATATATATATATATATATATATATATATATATATATATATATATATATATATATATATATATATATATATATATATATATATATATATATATATATATAT